GTGTGTGTGTGTGTGTGTGTGTGTGTGTGTGTGTGTGTGTGTGTTTGTGCAGGTGGCCATGGAGGTCAGAATAGGGCATTAGATCCCCTGGAGCTGCAGTGACAGGTGATTATGCATTGCCTGATATTAGCTGTGGGAACCACCTCAGGTCCTCTGCAGGAGAAAGGCTGTCTCTGATGGCTCCTTCTTCCTCTTTCTAGTTCATCCTGCAGTAACATTTGTTTTCAGTCAAAGTTAGGAAACAGCTTACTCAATTTCAGAATGACCAGAGTAAAAGCAAACACTGTTTTATTCCTTCAGGACACTGTGTTCTAAAAAAGTTTTTAGTCTCTTTACTGGGGCAAGGGAAGGAGCCCTCGGTGGTACAAAGAGTTAGCATGAGGCTTGTTCCCAGGTGAGTGTGGAGATGGTTTGGTAATGCCTTGTAGCTTTGATCAGAATGCAAATCCTCACCACCACACACTGAAAACCTTGTTAAGTCTTGTAAGTCTAGAGAGAAAATCACTTTTAGATTTCACAATGACTCCTCTTCCTTTTTTAAAAAACAATTCATTTCCCTGTAGTTTTCTTTTTATTCTGACTCACTTGGTGCTTGTTAGCCTCTTAGTTTCTTGGACATCTTTAAAGGTCAAAAGACCCATTTGTTTCATCTTTTATATCTGCTTGGGTATCAGCAGAGGACTGGAGAAAGGGAAAGGTTTTGTGTGTGTGTGTGTTTTGTTGTGTGTGTGCCTGCATGAAATTAACTAACGTTTGAAAATTTTGATTCAGATGTTGCAGAGAAACAAAGATGTTATTCCTAGTGGCTCCTTTGTACCAGCAGGACAGGGTAGACAAAGGTTATATTGAAAGAGACAGAAGCAGATTTCTTCTTGATATATAATAAAAGTAATGTATTTTCTTGATCTATTTCAGGCCAGCAATCTGTGCATGAAGCCCAGGATTTGTTTCCAAAGCAGGACTCAAATAATGAAAAGATAACAGACAGAACTTCAAGTAGTAAATTTGAGTGTTCCACCTTCAGAGAAGATTGGGATTCAGAGTGTGTGTTAGAAAGGAATGGTCAAGACACACCATTTGAGCAAGAAACAGTTACTCAGAACAAAATCTTCTCAGAGGAAAGAGGTAGTGTGTATGTTAAATCTAGAAGATGGTTTCATTTGAACAGTTCAGAAGAGAGAAGTCATAACTGTGATTCAGGTAAAAGTTTTCCCCAAAATTCGATAGTTGTAGAAGAAACAGGAATCTATGCAGGAAAAAAACTTTTCACGTGTAATGAATGTAAGAAAACTTTTACCCAGAGCTCATCCCTTACTGTTCATCAGAGAATTCATACTGGAGAGAAACCCTATAAATGTAATGAGTGTGGGAAGGCCTTCAGTGATGGTTCCTCTTTTGCACGACATCAGAGGTGCCATACAGGCAAGAAGCCATATGAGTGCATTGAGTGTGGCAAAGCTTTCATACAGAACACTTCCCTTGTCCGTCACTGGAGATACTATCACACTGGGGAGAAACCCTTTGATTGCATTGATTGTGGTAAAGCCTTCAGTGACCACATAGGGCTTAATCAACATAGGAGGATTCACACTGGTGAGAAACCCTACAAATGTGAAGTGTGTCACAAATCCTTTAGATATGGCTCATCCCTCACTGTACACCAAAGGATTCATACTGGAGAAAAACCATATGAGTGTGATATTTGCAGAAAGGCCTTCAGCCACCATGCATCACTCACTCAGCATCAAAGAGTGCATTCAGGAGAAAAGCCTTTTAAATGCAAAGAATGTGGGAAAGCTTTTAGGCAGAATATACACCTTGCTAGTCATTTGAGGATCCATACAGGGGAGAAGCCCTTTGAGTGTGGGGAATGTGGGAAAGCTTTTAGCATCAGTTCACAGCTTGCCACTCATCAGCGAATTCATACAGGAGAGAAGCCTTATGAATGTAAGATTTGTAATAAAGCATTTACTCAGAAGGCTCATCTCGCACAACATCAAAAAACTCATACAGGAGAAAAACCATACGAGTGTAAGGAATGTGGCAAGGCCTTCAGTCAGACCACTCACCTCATTCAACATCAGAGGGTTCATACTGGAGAGAAGCCCTATAAGTGTCTAGAATGTGGGAAGGCCTTTGGTGATAACTCATCCTGTACTCAACATCAGAGACTTCACACCGGCCAGAGGCCTTACGAGTGTGTGGAATGTGGAAAGGCATTCAAGACCAAGTCATCCCTTGTTTGTCATCATAGATGCCACACTGGAGAGAAACCTTATGAATGTAGTGCATGTGGCAAAGCCTTTAGCCATCGGCAGTCCCTTAGTGTACATCAGAGAATTCATTCTGGGAAGAAACCATATGAATGTAAAGAATGTAGGAAAACCTTCATCCAAATTGGACACCTTAACCAACATAAGAGAGTCCATACTGGAGAGAGAACGTATAACTACAAGAAGGGCAGAAAGGCCTTCAGACAGAGTGCACACTTTGTTCACCATCATCGAATTCATTCCAGAGAGTCATCCACTCACCCTCCTTTGCCTTCCACATCGAGTCCTGTGGATGTCTTCCCCAAATTCATCTGGAATCCATCCTCCCCTTCATCATCATAATCTCAAAGCATCATTATTTCTGCTATACTTGGTTAACAACTCCTCTCTCTGCCCCTTTGTTCACTTTGTCCCTTACAAGTTCTTCATGTTACAATCAGGCTGGGTTATTTTTGGAGTATAACTATAACTAATCTGCTCATATAAAACTTACATTCATTGGTTAATGCCAAAGATGTGCCTGGTCCATACCAAGTACTCAGCAGACTTGGGTCTTTTATAAGTTTCTTTTTGAAGGTGAAAAATTTATTGTAGTCAGCTCTGATGAAAGCGATGCAATAGAATGAGGTTAGGAGAAATCAGATTTTAGATCAGGAAGGGAGTTCTTTGAATTGTTGATGAGGCTTGCTTCTTTTCCTTGAAAACTTGGTTCTAAGCCAGGGGTATGGTGGGCTCACCTGTAATCCTGAATCCTGAATGCAAGGCCAGCTCCATGAAACTTATTGAGGCCCTATCTCGAAACCAAATCAAAACAGTTGATCCTATGGTGCTGAATTGTACCATGGTTTTGGATTGGAGCTATAGGAAATGTAAGGTAATTGAACTTCTAGTGAGGAAGTTCTATGATACACTTGACAATAGCCTTAAAGGATAGACAGCCTGGAACAAACGAATTAAAATAATTGGAAAAGTGAAAGATTTTATATGCATGTAGTTAAAACTACCAACAAATTGAATAATGAGGAAGCACTGAAGGATGTGATCTATTTAAAGTCATGAGTTTGGCAAACTTCCAAATAGGTAAACTGATCTACAATAGGGGGCAGCAAACTGACTTAGAGTGAAAGTCTCACTGGTTATTTTTGGAGGGCCCATACTCTAAAATTCTGAAAATATGTTTAACTGGTTTTAAAAATTGGATGAATGTTTTCTTTTTTTAAATTTTTTATTATAATTTATTACAATTTATTCAATTTGTATCCCAGCTGTGTCCCCCTCCCTCATCTCCTCACAATCCTACCCTCTCTCCCTCTTCTCTCTCTATGCCCCTCCCCTAGTCCAGGTCGAATATTTTCAACATGATAATTATGTGAATTGACATTTTAGTGTTTGAAGGTGAAGTGTTGGCACAAAGCATCATGTTTACTTCCATATTGTTTGTGGTGCCTCCATTTACAAAGGAAATCTGTCCTGTGATGAAAACTGGCTCAGAGAGAAAAAAAAAGATGATGCCAGAACCTTTATGGAAAATGTTTGCTGAATTGTGCAAAAACAGTTGGACTGTTTTTGTAAATAGAGTTTTATTGAGTGACACCCATGGTCATTGGTTTACCAGTGATCTTTGGCTGCTGTTTTACAGTGGTAGAATTGAGTAGCTGCACTGGAGACTGTATGATCCCATTAAACCACAAATAGTTACAGCTGAAGAGTAGAGGAGAATGTACAAAAGTTTCTAATCTCATGGCAATAATAAACCCTGACCAAAAATCAAAACAACAACAAAAAAACCCAAGAATATTGGGCCAGTGTGATGACTTAGCCAGTAATGGTATCTTTTGCCAATCCTGATAACCTGAGTTTAATCCTTGGAACTCATGTGGTAGATGGACTCATGAGAGTCCTCTAACCGTCACATACATAAGTTTGCATGCATACCTCAAACACAAACAATAGGTATTTAAAAAACACAACTTATAAATTAATTTATGAAGAGATGAAATTATTAAATGAAATAAAAGTCTATAAAAGAGAAATGTATTTAGAGGAAATGTTAAAATGTTTTTAAATTATCTTTCCAAAACAGTCCCATGAGGATATATGGACAACATCAGGAAACAATTAGGCAAGAATATAAAAAAATTTTTTTTTTTAGATTTGTTTGTTTGCTTATTTTGAGGCAGAATCTCTCTTTGTAGCTTTGGTTGTCCTGGAATTTGCTATGTAGACTAGGCTACCTTTTAATTCAGAGAACTGTCTACCTCTGCCTCCCAAGGTGTGCACCATCATGCTTGGCTTTTTATTTGTGTGTGTGTGCCACATGTGTTCCTTTACCCACAGAGGCTAGAAGAGAGCACTGGACCCTCAAATGAACAATTCAGAGTAGGAATTTAAAAAATTAAATACATTAATCCAATCCAAAGATATACTAATTTGATACATGCTGAGGAATGAGGGAGGAAAATATTCAAAGTCTCTTTTTATGCAACTTTAAGAGCAGGAAGCTTTGTATTTATAGCATAGTCACTGTGGTTCATAATGTACAAGTCTCACACCTCAATTGAGTACCTTTGTTGGCACTGCATGGTGTAGCAACATACACAGAACAAAGTACACAAGTTGTGTTTTCAGAACCAGAGCTTCAGGGGAACCGTGTAATGCAACATTGGAGACCAGACCAGACCTCAGGTTCATGTTGAATTCTGAATTTTTGGTTGCTGTGCATTCAGAAGCCTATTATTGTTTGCAGCATTCAGTGTTTACATTCAGTTGTGAGTCGTAAGAAGCTGGGATTTAGAGTTCCCTGTGGCTTGTAGTATGGAGTGTGGGGAGCAGCCCTGGCTGTGTGCCTTTAGGAGCTGGAGAAGTCAGCTACCATAGTGGCACACTTGAGGTATGCCCCAAGTGTTCAAAATGGCCAACCGGAGGCTCAAATTTTCCCATCCAACATCTTTGCCTATTGACAAGAAAATTAGCGACACTTTTACAAATGTAAAAAAACAAAACAACAAAAACCAACTTTACATTATAGTAGTGACTTTTGTTCGTTTTTGTCTTTGAGACAGAATCGCTACATAGCCCTACCTATCCTGGAACTCTCTATGTAGACCAGGCTGGCCTTGAACTCAGAGATCCACCTGCCTCAGCCTCCTGAGTGTGTTGGGGTTAAAGACAAACACCACCATACCTGGCTAGTAACTTTTTTAAAGTTTGCTTTAATTATTCTGAACACCTGCCTGGGCCACAAGGAAGGCATAGTTCTCCCCTATCTGTTCCTCAGCTACTATGTGTCAAAACACTCTTGTCACTAAAAATAAAGCCCTGAACAGGATGAAGATGAGCATAATGTTCAGCCTTGTAGGGAGGGGTAAACACAGGGATGAGGGTAGGTTATGTCAGGGAGCAATAACTAATGCATGAAATTGGTTACACGTAGACATCACAAGTACACAAAATCAAATATTTTTATCTTTTAGTCTGTCCCTGATGCCTTCTAAGTCTCTCCTGTCTTCTACTCAGAAGCCACAGCTGCCTCGTTGGCTTTAAAGCTTGGCTTCCCATTTTGGCTCTGTCCAGACCTCATTTTCCCAAGCTGATAGTCACGCCTGAGTGGATGCTGTATGGTCCGCTTGTCCTTCTGGATCGAACACGAGGCTGAGAGGGTTCTAGTGACTTTATTCTGAACTGGGAGACATCACCTGCGGAAGAGTGGAGACTAATTTGCCCACTGGAGAGGCTCCTTGTCACCCTGGGATAATCTTGCTCAAGAGTCACCGGGCGATGACTACCTATCCCAAGTTCCATTGCAGGGGACCACTAGACCACCTCCGGTATAGACCGGAAGTCACTGACGCTTGAAACCAGGTTCAGAGATGAAATTATTGATGGATATGGGGTGGAAGTTATACTTGATCAGGGAAAGCTGCAGGGAGTGGTGTGCAGGCCGGTGCGAGTGTGGTCTGGCGTCTGTGGAGCTGACTCGCATGTTTTTTGTGAATGTGGTGATGTGGGAGACTGCAGGTTAGTGTGGTACAGGATGCGTGCTGGGAGGGGCTTGTGTGGAAATGAGTCTCCCGGCTTGCTTGCAGCAGCTTGTGGGGGACGACTGTGGGTACTGACTGGAATGAACGAAACACTTCTAAGTGGTTGAGGCTATACCTTCTCACCATCAGATACATGGTCTCAGGTGGCAAAGAGCCCAGAGACAGTGTCCAGACAGCTTAAGTATTTCTTGCTTGACCTTTCTGGAGGAGACAGAGCTCAGGACTCTTCCAGAAGCAGACGCTACTTAGGTAAGGATGAGAGATAATTTGGGTGTGGCTAAAGAAGTGAAAAATTGAGATTTGAGGAAGATTTTATTTGGAGTGCCCAGTGCTGGAGGACGGTGTGGGTGGTCTCTGGCGCTGGTAAAATGCAGTCTAAAGATTTGGAAGGTCCGCTACTGGGTAGCTGTGTTCAGGAAGTTGCCCAGACCCTGCCATACCCTGCCATCTAGGTCTTCGTGTTACCCAGAATTTGGAGGAGTGACTACCATCTAGTAGAACTTTTCTTCAGGTTGCTCTTCTGCTGTCCTGGGACATCGGCATTTTCTTTTTGACCTGTCAGGTCCATGTCCTGTCACGGTATGGAGAGTAGATTCACAGTTTTATTTAGAAATGCCAAGGGATCCCAACCTTTTATTCTGTGCACGAATATATTCACTTTTCCCAGACTTCTTTTGCTTCCTTTCTGTCACTGCCCACCCTAGCGACAAAGTGGGAGGGGGCAAGAAATGCTGTTCATAGTCCTCTTAACCACCTAAAGTGTTTTATTCATTCCAGTACACTATGCTTGCTTCCCTGGATACAGTTATAATAGCTAATTTTTATTGAGTGCTTATTATGTGGCAGACACAGACTGGATCTTGTAGTAATTTAGAACTTTTGGGAGTATTAACAAGAGGGTGTGACGTAGGAAATACCTCGACTCCGTCTTACAGATGAGGACTCTAAAGCACAGAGTGGGCAAGTAATCACTAGAAAGCAGAAGAGGCAGGATTCAGAATCAGGAAATGATGACTCTAGCCTCCTCCTCTTTATTTGCTGTCGTTACATTCACTCACTAACTGTTTAACACCCTTTGACATGGATCCAGATGGTTAAGTTGAATATCAAGAGTTTATACTTCACACTTTACTCCATGAGTTTGGATTTTTGTTTTTATGACTCTTAGTTCTTATGTTAAATGGAATATTTTAATATCATATAGTTTGTAAGACTTTTCACAAGGATTAAATGAGTTCATACATACTTGGTGTGGTCTCTGTCACATATGAATTTATTAAATGTTCATTTTTATTACAGTATTTTGAGAAGGCCATGGAATTTGTACTAAGGAAGCCAGAATCAGGGGCTAAACAGATGTGTCAGCAGGTAATGGCATTGGCTGCTCTTGCAGATCACCTGGGTAAAATGTATGGTGGCTTACCACCATACATAACTTCAGTTCCAGGAGCTCTAATGCTCTCTTCTGACATCCTCAGACTTCTGCATGCATGTGGTCCACATTTGTGCATTCAGGTACACACCCACATACATACAGTGAAATAAATAAATATTTAAAAAAGAAGTTTACAATTAATTCAGCTACATGCCCCCTTCATAATTAAAGGAGTGAGTCAGAGCAGGTAACAAGGGACTTCATCAAAACTCCTCACAAAGCAAATTGAGGACTGAGTCTCATGAAAATTCTTTGAAATCCACAAGGGATGTTTGTTTTATTGAAGTTATAGCCTTTGGGGAACATGGCTTCTGCTGGAATTCACCTCATCAAATCTTGAGTAGTTAGTTTCACAGGGACATTTATTTTGTGGTGTCCACTTGAATAATTCCAGCACTCGGGAGGCAGAGGCAGGCAGATCTCTACTTAAAGGCCAGCCTGGTTTACAGAGCAAGTTTCAGGGCAACCAGGGCTGTTACTGAGAGAAATCCTATCTAGAAAAAGAATGAAACAAACAAAAGGGAGTAGTGGAGTCAGGCAGACCTACCTTGGTAACTATTTCTCATTACTTATAGGCTGTTTGATTTGGAAAAGCCTTCCCAGAGACTTCATATGTAAAATGATGATGTTATTCCCTACTTTCTTTGAAGATTGTGGATATTAAAACAGTGTTTAAAGGATTATAGAGAGATAGCTCAGTGGTTAAGAGCACTGGCTACTTTTCCAGAGGACTTAGCGTTTATTATCAGTACTTAGATGATGGCTCACAACTGTCTGTAACTCTAGTCCCAGGAAATCCAATGCCCTTTTCTGGCCTTCTTGGGCCAGACATCCATGTGGTACACAGACATACATGCAGGCAAAACATCCATGCATTTCAAATAAGATAAATTTTTTTTTAAATTAGAAAAAAAACATAAAATATGCTACATACCCAGTACATCTCTGTTAATGAATAGGTCTGGCTGGGGAAAACATTGAGAGATTGGTTGATTGTATTCAACCTGAAAATCTAGAGTGGAAGGAATTTCAGCTATGTTTTTAGGTTTCTACTGAATATCTGGCTGGTTGGTCTCAGTCTCTTGATCTGTCTGTCTGTCTCTGTCTCTCTATCTTTGTGTCTCTCTGTGTTGGTGTGTTTCTGAGCAGTATTTTTGCAGCTTGATCTCCACAACTTATTTCTCCTCCATCACTTGTATGTTTTGAGGATGAAGCCCCTCTACAAAGAAAAAACCAGGAAGAACTCAAAGTGACCGGAATCAAGCTGGTTAAAGTCATGTCCCCAGTGAGGGAGTTAGTATTTTTTCTTTCCTTACTAATTTAAAGAATTGTGTATAAGAATTTGTCAAGGTTTGTTTCCCTTTGAAAGACTTTCAAAGCCTTCCCCCCATGGATGTACTTCCTTTAGAAAGCTCCATTTCCTAAGGAGTGCATAGCTTCCCCAAACAGCTCTGTCAGCTAGGAAATCAAGGGCTCAAATACCTGAGCCCATGGCATTTTTCATTCAAGCTACCAGAATTTTTTTGTTTTGTTTGTTCTGAGACAGGGTTTCCCTGTGTATTGCCTTGGGCAATCTGAACTCACTTTGTAGACCAGGCTGGCCTTGAACTCACAGAGATCCACCTGCCTCTGCCTCCCAGAGTACTAGGATTACAGGTATGCACCATTGAGCCCAGCTCAGAAAGTCCATTTTATTTAAGTTCCTTACCTCATTGGTGAAGGATCTTTGTGAAGGAGGTAGTGGACTCACAGCTGAGAGGGGAAAATATTGAAAGGATTTGGGATTTCCTAGTTGTGCTTGGAATGAGGTATTTTTCCATTGAAAAATAACCAGGCATAACCAGGCAGCAAAGTCTAGTTAGTATCTAGTGAGTATTCATACCTTTGGGGCAATTCTTGCATACATTCTTTTATCCTGTAATAAGAACAGTATAACTCTTTGCCCTATATCCACATGAGACTACAAACCTGAGCTAAGATTTTGTTTATGTCATTTTAGGGCTTAGTTACTCTCATAGATGTGGTCATAAACTTCCCCCAAGATGAATGGGAATGGCTGACTCTTTCCCAGAGGAGTTTGTACAGGAACCTGGCTGCAGTGCATAAGAGTAGCACTGATGCTCACTGTGACTCAGTGTCTTCTCCTGCCTTATCTGTTTTCTGACACCATCCTTCTTGAAGATCATTTAGATTAACTGTAGTTCTTGCTTGCAAACTTCATTGTCAGCTTTTATATTTTATGTACAGGTCTTTGTATATTTTTTAAGGATTTATTTATTTATTTTTTATGTCTGAGTGTACAGAGGTGTTGGATAGCCTAGAACTGGAGTTATGAATGGTTGTGAGCCTTCATGTGTGTGCTGGGACTAGAATCTGGGTCCTCTAGAAGAGTGGTCAGTGCTCTTAACCACAGAGCCATCATTCCAGTCCCAGGTCTTTGCATTTCTAAACCAGATGTGATCTTACTGGAGCAAGAGAAGGAGCCATGGATGATAAAAGGAGAGGTGGCCGGAGGTCCATGTCCAGGTGAGTGCAAGGTGATTAGAGCTGGAGAAGTTATACTTCAGGGTTTCTTCTCTTTGGTATTATAAAATTCCTTTCAGACTCTCTCCCAAATTGATGTTGGCTTAGTAAGAGTTTTTGAGTGTTCCTTCTCCACTGGTATAACCTACCATATTTACCTTTATTTATTTCCTAGACATACTGAAGTCTGCTTCTTAACTCTTACTCCACCGATGTTTACATAGTTCTGATCAGGTGAACTTGAGCTGTATAAGGAAGCTAGCTGAGTGCGAGCCAGTGAGTGATCCAGAGAGTGAGTCTGGGGGCAATATTCTTCCATAGCTTCTACTTCAGCTTCTGTTTGGGTCTTGTCCTGATTTCCTTCAATGGTGGACTGTGACCCAGAAATGTAAATTGAAATAAATCCTTTTCTCTTTTAAGTTGCTTTTGGTTCGAGTGTTTTATCACAGCAACAGAAAAGCAGGACCAGTAAACATCTAGATAAAAGAACAAAATGAATTAAAGAATGCCAAAATAAGTTATTATCATTGGTGTTTCTGGAGATCACATTCAGAGTAAATGAATTGAAAAACTGTAGATCTAATGAAATTAAAAATACATGTCTTTAAGAAAAGCAATAAGACATACAAAGTGAGAACAGGTAAGAGAAATTGCATAAAACCACAAACACAAAAGACTTAAGAGAATCATATGAAGAGCTGGGGTGTGGGTTAACCTATGTAAGGCCTTGGATTTGATTCTTAATGACCCTCTCATTCCAAATAAATGAAACAGAACATATGAATCTATTTTCTCCAATGCTCTGTCACTAATATGAAGATCTAGATGAAGTGGGTGGTAATTTAGGAGAATACAGAAGTATAGATGATACTACAAGAGGTAGGTAAGAAAGCAATACAGGAAGCTGTTTATGAACTGCTACTCCTCAGTAGAGACTAAGCCACAATCTAAATGGTTTCACAGATCAGAAAAATATCCTCCACGTTATTTACACTGAAACTTGGGGTAAATGATAAAAAAGCTATGATCAGAGAGAGATCAGTGGTCATGAGCATTTGTTGCTCTTGCAGAGGACCTGAGTTTGGTTCTCAGCACCCACTTGGTGGCTCACAACCATCTGTAACTCTAGTTCTGATGTACTCTTCTCACCTTCTCAGGCACCAGGCACACATATGGTACATATACATACATGCAGGCAAAACACTCATACATAAAACTTTAAAAAAATTTTTTTTTTTGTTCTTTTTGTTATTTTGTCTTTTTTCCCTCCAGAGCTAAGGACCAAACCCAGGGCCTTGTGCTTGCTAAGCAAGCGCTCTACCACTGAGCTAAATCCCAAACCCCTAAATTTTTTTTTTAATTAAATGATAAGGAGACCTTACAAACTCACAGTTGGTGAAGACAGCATGTTATTTGATAACTTAGTTTACCAAAATCACAAAAATGTAAATTATTAAAAAATGTAAGTTTCAGCTATAAATATTGATGTAAAGAAAAGGCTCTATATGATATTGGCTCATGTTCAATGAGGGCTTATCCCAGGTGTGCATGCATGGTTGCAGCATCTGATTTTATTTAAGAAATAGTTAAAACCACAGACCTCTTCTGGGCTTCAATGATCATTTGATTCTCAGGGCTTCTTTCTAGCAATTAATAAAGGAAATATCTGTCAATATCTTTTAGACATGGAATACATATGGATGACTGAAAAAATTATGTCTAAATCAGGACATGTGTGGAGAGAAAATTTCCAAGGCAATAATTGTGTAAAGACTTACAAAGTATGCCCTGTAAAGTTCCACATTAGGTAAAAACTGGAGATGTGAAGAATTGTTTGAAATTTAGTCAGTTGGAAAATACATTTTAGGTATGAGATGGTCGCTCAAATAGATACACTTATTCTGAAAAGAGACCACCCTCCCAAGTTTGGGACAAATATCCATATGGATACATTATCTATGACATACCTTTCCCATGGAAGAGGGAATACATAATTTTGATACAGATAAGAAAATACATTCAGTTGTGAACAAATACATAAAAGACTTTGGAGAAAAACGGGTAAAATGTAATGACTGTGAGAAAACATTTAACAAAATATTAACCCTTCTCTTCATGGAAGAATTCATACTGGAGAGAAGTGGTATGAATGTGTTGACTGTACGGAAGGCCTTTATCTAGAGTGCCCATCTTGCTCAGCATGAGAGAATACACACAGTAGAAAAACCTTTTCAGTGTGCTGATTCTGGGAAGACATTCAGTCAGAATGCTCATTTTACTCAACACTAGAGAGTTCAAAT